AACCTATAATGGGGGGAGGGGCTTCTGTCAATCACATCTTGGCCGTTTCTGCATACTGAGGTCCCTTGCAAGTGGGCTTGGGGGAGAGGCAGGCGTGGGAAAGGCCAAAATAAATACAATAAATAGCAGCTTGTGCACCGCTGAAGGGTGTGCCACGTGCATCCGTTGCTATGTACACCCAGATTTGTGCGCGGCGTCCAGTTCAGAAGTCTGTATATCATGGTTGCAGAGTTTCCATCTGCCCTTCCGAGGTGGTAGTTCCGCTCTATTCTGCTATGGTCAGGCCTCACCTGGAGTACTGTGTCGCTTATTCCCACAGGGGGGGTGTCACAAAAAGGCCTTTTCTCCTGGTCCAGCAAGAGGGGCCAAAGTCCTTTCGGCGTCTCGCAATCACAGCGTGATGTTCTCTTCAAACACCGAGAGCAGCAGCAGGATGCCCCAGCCGGCCAACAGGCCGAGGTTCTGCAGGGCGAAGAGCAGCCAGGGGCGCTTGTCCTTCACGTTCATCAGGGCCGGAAGCTGCGGGAGGGAGCGGAGCAAGAAAACCCGCAAAGGTGAGCAAGGGCCGTAAACCCACACTTTTCAGTCACATCCCCGATCTGGACCCAAATTCTGAACACTGGATGCTTTACTTCCAGGCTGCTACAATCCCAGTCCTATTACATTGCTTATGCGATGTCTCTTTCGATTGATTGCATCAGTTTACTCTGCAATCTGCCCTGGGTCTCAGGGAGAAAGACTCAAGTCCAGGGTTCCCTTAGTGACCAACAGGATTTTAGGGTACATGTGGAGGAGTGGGGAATCAAACCTGGTTCTCCCAGATTAGAGTCCACGCACTTAAGCACTACACCAAACTGGCTCTCAGGGAAAAAAAACAAGGATTTAAGAAGAATAAGGACTGAAGAAGAATAAACATGCCCGGAGAGGGAGGATATCGTCACTCACCATGTCACACAGTGCCACGTAGAGGAAGAGGCCGGTGGCCACGGTGAAGACCCAGGCCTCAAACTCCTCCCCGGTGGAGACGGAGAGCGCGATGTAGAGGCCGATGAAAGCCGTGAGGGCGCTGAGGAAGTTCAGGAGCAGGGCCCGCTTCACGCTCAGCCCGGAATGCAGCAGCGCAGCGAAATCCCCTGGGAAGACAGGAGGAACCACAGGCAGGTGAACGGTTGCAGTAGAAGAGACTGGCACAGGAAGATGCCAGAACGCGTGCCCAGAGACCTTGAGGAAAACATCCCCCACACTCCTAGAGGAGTTTGAGGCCAGGATGTGAGAAGCCCACTTCCAAATCCCAGCTCAAGCATGGCATTTACTCTACACGCCAAAGGATCATTTTTCAGAGTTGATGTTTCCCGGGGCTCTTTTTGTAGAAAAAGCCCAGCAGGAACTCATTAGCATAACAGACCACACCCAACAGCAGGAACTCATTAGCATATTAGGCCACACCCATTACAGCACAGCTCATTACCATATTAGGCCACACCCCCGTGTTACCAGAAGTGTGGTCATCCAGCCACACCCACCTTTTGCTTCTTATTCTGTTGACCTTGTTTGTGGTCAAAACCCAGGGCTTTTTTGTTGCAGGAACTCCTTTGCATGTTAGGCCACACCCCCCGAATGTAGCCGATCTGAATGAGTTCCTGCTGTTGGGTGTGGCCTATTGTGC